AAATAAAATGCAAAAATCAAGGTAGTCAGGCTTCAGAAGTCTGGAAGGTAGCAGCTGCCACCGGGCACCTCCTCGGGATTAAACAACAACTGACCTTGATGGGGTTATGATTCTTGAGGCAGTTGCCCCAGCAACCGACGTACCCGAAATTTAATGATTATGCAATATAAAATATTTAGCCCTTAGAATTAAAATATTCCAATCAATTCATCACTCGAAGCCTCCCCAACTCCTTTAAATCCTGCCACCTGCTTCAGACTTCACACCAAAGACCACAAAACCCAGCTTTTTTCTGCATCTACTAGCCCCGTTTCTGCTTCATGGATTCAAAGAAGTCTAACAAGATTAGGGAGATTGTTAGGCTCCAACAGATCTTAAAGAAGTGGAAAAAGCTAGCAAACGCTCCTAAAAACACCACCACAATCAATTCCTCATCAGCTTATAGCATAATTAATAATGCCAATAGCACCACAACTAGTACTAGCAGTAGCAGAAGCATGAAGTTCTTCAAGAGAACACTCTCTTTCTCAGATGTTTCCACGGCTCAAAATGTCATCGTGCCAAAAGGGTTTCTTGCAATGTGTGTTGGGAAGGAGCTGAAGAGATTCGTCGTCCCAACTGAGTACTTGGGTCACCAAGCTTTTAGGATTCTGCTCCAGGAAGCCGAAGAGGAATTCGGGTTTCAGCAAGAAGGTGTGCTCAAGATTCCATGTGAAGTGTCAGTGTTTGAGAAGATCTTGAAGATGGTTGAAGAGAAAAGGGAGGTCTTTTCCTTGCACAATGAGTTTGGATTCATTAATGCAGAGAAAGACATGATTGATTTTTGCTCGTCTCCATCAGATTGTGAGATTACACCTCATCGCCCTCAAATGTGCAGATGACGAATACTTTTGATATATTTTGATATTGTATGCTCTTCACCATCTTTTTCTTCTTCTTTCTTTTGCTTTATTTTGTGAAGATAAATGTAATGGAAGAAGGCAGAGTGTGATTAGAGGAGGATCTAGGGTTGGATACTAAGGTAGAGTTCTTGTTCTACATGGAAATTATTAGTTAATAGTTGGATTGGAGATCTTTAATTAAGATCCAAGTTATGTTGTAGCTACCACCATATTAGTGCAAATGATATGAAACTTCCATCTTAATTTGAAGAGCCAAAATTTTATTCAGTTTAAATTTAAATGTCATTGTAATTTTTGTGATTTTCATCCTATACATGAATGAGTGACAAGAGGAAAAAAATCATGTCCAAAAATTTGACTCCAAGCCAAATAGGAGAGAGTAAAATCAGTGGTAAAAGTGAGGAATCAAATAATCTTCATATGATAAGTTAATTGATGACTTTCTTTGTCTTGGAAGAAAACAATATCAAGACAGGAATGCTGAGAACTGGAATAGATGACCATTTTCCAGTAGCTAGCCAATACATTTGAAGAAATGGCTAGTTGTTATTAGCAAATAACAAATCGAATGGTTGCCCAAGCAAGAACATTGATGAGCTAAATGAAGCGGAGTGGGAAACTGAAACACCAGTTCAAGCACTTATTTATTTACTACCCAAGAAAACCCAACAAAAGAGTGCTATTTTCATGCGACAATTTTTTAGAGTAAGAATCTCACATTGCCTAATACTCTCTCTGTTTTATTTTCATGCTCATATTCCAATTAATATGGTAACAGAGTATGCTACTCTTGGGTCCAACCGCCCCGCAATATATTTGTTCAAGTTCTAGAGTTGAAATGTTGTCATACGTGAGGGAGCTTGTGAGAATTTTTCTACACCATTACAGTAAGCTTTGCATGGTAGTTTAAATAATCTTTAGCCGGTCACTCTTATTGGTTTGAGGGTGAATCTTAAATTTCCCTGAACAATCTCACATATCTATTTTTCAGGAACCAACTCAGATGAGTAATCAAGATAGGCTAGCTCCAAAATTTTAAGTTATGAGCTGTGCTACATTTATGTCTATTTGTATCATCTTTCTAATAGAGATAGGGTCCATAATATATGGTAAGAATAACATTTTTGTTAAGTTATTAATTACAGTCAGGCAGCACTGCAGTCCACTGCAAAGCAGATGGTGCCTCTTCAGATTAGGTTTATCAAATGCTAAACCAAAAAACAAATATAAATTAAGTCATTTGATCAAGGCAACATGTCAGCCGCCTAGGCATGCATATCTTGATTTCCATTTCCATAAATTATAGCTCTTTTGACTAGCTATCACCTTATTGCTTAGCCAAGTTGGGAACCGATGAGAAACTACTGGACACGCAGGTTTTGCAGAGAGACTTAAAAAATTTCCAAATAGCAGCATCTTCCAATAACCAATGTTGTGCTTTGTTTGTACTGGTAATTGGACTTGTGGGAAATGCAAGTCGCATTTGTTTTTGTTAATCAAAATGCAAGTAGCATTTGTTTTTGTTAATCAAACTGCAACTATATTTAACATAAATAGTTATAATAAGGCAGTTTAAGGATTGTAAGTTATCCTTTTGCTGCCAGCACTGATCATGACACTGAAACCTCAAGCTTCAGCTATTAAAACTCACATGCAACTCCATTACTTGTCCAGTATCAATCTTTTATAATTCAAACTAACATTTACAATAAGGGAAAAAAATGAAAATTTAATCATATAGGTGTAAAGTTCGCATATCCGCGCATCTTTCATAAAAAAAAAAAAATGGGACTCTGCTAATTTTTGTTCATTTGTTATATAGTGGGATATAGATAAGAGAGTTGTTATTCGCATTGTAAAAAATCTTGAAGTGATCATGTTTTGCGTCATAAATAAAAATAAGGTTTGTCCTAGGGCTCAGACAACCAACGCACATCACTCTACAGCCATCTAAGGACTTGAGCCCATCCATAGCAATCATAGCAATCGTGTGAAATGCCACAGGGCACAGCCGAATGCCACCAACCAAGAATTGCAATAATTGTTAGTACCAAATGACCGATCTACCCCTGCTCCAACTCAACGATAAGATATATCGAGGTTAGCCACCTTCATAAAAATTAATCTTATACAAACCTCAAGTGATTCTTCAATCAACCCAACAACTTTTCAGCACAACCCAAATTGATTTTCAACAAAGTCTCTAGCCCTTGAGCTACAATCTCAAAGCCTTCTTTTGAAGCAAACACTACCCATGATCCCTGAGATCTAAAACTCTTGTAGCTATAGCACCTACGGTATGATTCGATTGACATGCAATTCCGACCATCTTGATCACTTGATTGAGGCAATGTTGCCCTTTTAGTCCAGTCTGATAACAACTTTCTCGGTGGAATCCTTTAGCATTACCTTGTCCTAACATGGTTTGAATCTTACTAGAGTTTATTACCTTCTTTATATTTTCAAGTTTATTTACTTTTCAAGTCATGTAGGCTGGCTTATCAACCTATAATCACTTTTGTAAACATTTGTAATCTTACTTCCATCATGAAATGATTACATCCAATTTCCCTTTATTTTCATTTCTACTTTCTTATTCAGTTATTACTTAAGCATACACTTACTTTGCACTGGATTTCAAGTCCTCGTTCACTCAAGGAATAAAAAAAATCTTAACTGAACCAATGCCTCACTCGGTGCACAATCATTTGGGTTAAGTAGTCAGGTTTACGCACAAACATAGCACAATCTTACACACATTACTATCTGCTGGCATCCTCCAACAGTGGCATGTGTATTCTCTCCTTCTCTTGAGCCATCCGGCGACATTGAGGCCGAAAGCAACACTTGGGGCAAATATATGTTGAACTGAGTCAGGCTCCGTCCGAGTTTTGACACCAACAGGTTGAACATTTTTAGTATTAAAAAATTAGGGTTGTTTAATGACTATTTTTTGTTTGTGTTTAGTTTGTATTTTTGTATTAGAGAGAGAGTGGGAAGGAAAGTACATGAGAAAAATGAAGGATCTAGAAGAGTTAAGGATGCTCATGGGAGAGATATAGAAGGACGTATAATGTAAGGTACACAAAATGAAAACCAAAAACTAATTACTAAAATCAAAATAAGTTGTTTTAACTTTCAAAATTTTGTTTTAATTCTTCCCCTCGCACTCCACATTGTCTTGATCACTCATTTCCAACCATATACTTTTCCCCCATATCTCAAACTCAAAAAGTAAAACCTAAAAACTAAAAAAATACAGAAGAGGTTATCAAACAAACTCATAAACTAATGTTTTTGGGTTCCAAAAGTATTTGAAGAGCTTTTTCAGGATTAACTTGTTTTACTAAGAATATTGATTAAAAAAACATTTTATCTAAAAGCACTTCTCAAACGATCCAATTGCTAATGTTTCCTAGAAGCGAGATAAGCACTTCTACAAAAACCACTAATAAGAAGCGTTTTGTTTAATTGCGGGTCTATTTCAAAATGCTTTTAGCATCATTAATTACACACCACATTTTTACCAACCAATGCGTAGTTAATTCCTAAGACCATCTCTAAAGGAGATGTTAAAAATGCCACATAGACATATAACAGTAACATATGACATACCATTTACTCCAATCGACTGACATGAACAAAGAGATATCAAATTTGAAACTGTTTTCAAATATGGTTTTTGCTATTTTCAAAGGCATTCTACTTGTCTTACCTTAAATGCTAGCATATTTAAGTATTATTTTATTATTTTTAAATCAACAACAACCCAACTTTTATTATTTTTGTTTAAAAAAACATAAAAAAATTTAGCATACCAAGTGAAGGGAAAATATTGACAGTATGCCAAATTGCCAAGTCATCCATTAAATTAAAAGTTGATGTTTTGAATTTGACATTTTGAATTTGACGTTTTCTTTGGAGATGCTCTAAATCAATTCAAGTAAATTAATTGAGAACAAAATGACAAAGAAGGAAGAGGAAAGTAAACCAAGATAAGCCTTATGACATATGAAACGAAAATGATTTGTGTGATATGTAAATCAATCCAAGTCAATTAAATGTGAACAAAATTTTTTCTGTCATGTCATTATTCTGAGTCAAATTTGTACACGTTCTTGGTTATACACATTCTGCTTCTGCCTAAAATAGGAGAAGGTTAAATAAAAAATTACTTTACAGCAATTTGTTAGATCTTTTTCTTCTTATCATTCTTCTTATAGTTTGCCAAAGACCTCATCAAAATATTCTCAAAATCCTCTTCATCACAAGGGATTTTAAGCGCACCTTCCTGCTCAAACCCATACTCCTCTTCCACTCTATCCATCAAAACCCTAAAATCCGGTGATGACAAACAGCTCATGGGGATGACAAACCTCCGAAGCTCGGGCCCCACGTAAACTGCCAAGAACCCTTTGGGAACTTGCATCATTGAAGCTCCCCCACGCCGGCCGTCGGACAATTCTCCGGCCAGCAATGACCCATCGGAGTTCTCACTGGATTCCAAGAGGCTTATCGCCATATTCTTCCTGGTAACAGCTCCTGGTTTGTGGTTTAGTGGGGGCAACCACACCCACAGGCGCTGAATGTTCATGTTCTTGGGCCATGCAATGTGCCTTGCTATTTGTTGCTTCATATTGCACTGCTGAGGATGAACGATGACGATGATGAATTAGTTATGGATTCGGATATTGGGTTAGAAAGTTGGAGAGCTATGCATGCAGCAGAAAAGGATTTTATGATTTATAAGAAGAATTCATATTTATTTACAAACGAAACATTCTTTTCTTTCTTTTGAGTGTTTTCGCAGAGAAAAAGTTTCTTACAATACAAGAAAGAACTCTTTCTCTGCGAAACACAAGTTTTGAATTGGAGACGGACTGGTCATGATTGGTTTGTGAGTGTTCGTTAAGTTGGCTGTAATGTGGTGACATATAAAGAGGAATTCAAACAAACCATTCGAGACCAAATTTGGTGAGTGCTCCGCCATGCAATTCTCACAACGACATCTATATTTGGCTTGTTTACGTGCTTATACGTGGCGGCCATTATGTATTTGGTCAATTAATAGTTAATAGTTAGGGGTTTGGCTTTTTTTTAGCATCGTTATGGTGTAATGATAAATTAATGAGCTCATGAAATAATTTCACAAATTTTCTTTATACAATTATGTGTACCACACATTTACGAATCAGATTTATTATCCACATTTTTTTTATAGCATGACGAGATTATTGAGTTTTATCACACATGACATGTGTGGTTAGGAATGTAATCAATAATTGTGGGGTACAATTTCTCCATTATGCTAATGTTTTATGCGTGAATACTAAATTTTTTTATCCAGAATTACAACATTCTACTAATCTTTTACGTATTTAGTAAACACATACAAATATAGAAGATTGCCCTAATGATCGGTGGTGTTCCTCGTAAAGCATCTCGGGCTTAAACTCTCTTCCCCTTTCTAGTGTAAATTATTTAAAGTGGTAATATTATTACTTGTATTAATAAACTATTTATTTAGTAAGCTTTTTCAATTAAATACTTAAATAATAAACGTTAAACTCAAAGGCTCAATACCATATCATTTTAGATGTAAATATAATATATATTACCACAGAAAATATAAGCACGTATTATTTGTAAGGTGGCACTGATACATATGTTAGCATTAATCTTTCTCTTTGGCTCTTTCTTGAAGGAACTGAAAGTCACAGCTCGCCTGTTGTCCATGAATAATTGTTTTGGACTAGAACACACAACTGGAATACCAAGCACTCTCGTTGGACGAGATAGAATCATCGTTGAATCATTTTTATGAAGATTTTAGAAATTCTTTAATTATGTTCGTTCATCGTACATCGTGTGATTATTTTTCGTCAGGTATTATGTTCAATTTTAAATAATATAATTTAACATAATTTTTTATCGCACGATATAAAATGAAATGATAAAATTAAAGAATTTTCGGAATTCTTACCAGGAGAATCTAAAGAGGAGCCTATCTCTTTTTAGACCTCATGATTTCAGAAAACTGTGATTATTTAACTTTTTTTTGGTTGAACTGTGATTATTTAACTTTTGTTTTGTACTTTCTTCTTTATCGTTGAATTCAAATCAGAAAGTCCATCCCCATTTTTTCTTTTGGACCATGAGTTTAGGATAACAGCACTCGAATAATCAGATCCCATTCACTTTGACATTTTTAATACAGCCGTACGGACGTCAAAGTACTCAAAACAGAGGCATTTACTTGTCACCTTGTACATTTTTTTGGGCTGGACCAATTAAAACATGCTTTGAACTTTTGTTTTGCTTGAAGATAATTAAAAATACAACTTGGTGCACGCATCTGCATTAGCCAGGGTGTAAAATATGGGAGAGATCGATCATAACAATACGTGGGCGATTGGATGATAGGGATTAAGCCTTACCTAGCTAATTAGAAATTGAGGTTTTGACTTTGTGAGTTACGACAATATGAAATGCTAGCTTAACTCTAATGATTTCCAGATGTATATCCTTTGCTGTACTCCTAACGTTGTTAACTAGACGTCGGACACAACGATGGGCACGACAACTAGTCGAAGATGCACAAGCACATGGGAAATTATTGTGTATTGTGGTTCAAGAGCCATTTTAGTGCATTGGTTTTCTTGAACCTGAGTTTGAATATCTCTTTTTGTAAATTAGAATATCTTAAAAGTATCGTTTTTTTTTTAAATTACAGTATAACATATATGGATGGATTATTAATATGAATGTGGATCTATCTATGTTAGAAATGTAAAACAAATGTAGCATGAAAAATGTGGTAGAATAACATTTTTTTTATCATATTATCATAAGTTGGTTCAGTAACTTTGCTCTTTAACCATATCATACAATAATTTTTCCTAGCTCATGAAGATTAATTTACATGGTCGGATATTTTGCGTGTTCAATCACATTTTGGTCGTCGAATAATCCAACTTTAATGGAAATAAATCCATATAGATAAGTCCTAAAATTTAGTGGTAGAATCCATGGAAATAAATCCGATCTGCATGCATGTACAATTAATAGACGGTTAGCCCATTTGATTCCAGAATTTATTAGGTAACGAATTATATATTTTGGTACTCAATCATTGTGTTTGTAAATGCTGTAATAAGCTGGTGATCACCCTATACGTACTCGATTCAAAACTTTAATGTATATATAATACGTGCGTGAAGATTCCATCAAGCCGCACTTGGAAGCCTTATAAATACACCTCCTCACATTCCTGAGGTTCACAACATATATATCATGACATATGTTAATAATATTACAATCCCACCATTTTCATCATCGATCTCCATCTATCATTTTCTAATGGCAACTACAAGCAAAAGGGTCAAAACAATCATGCCGGCAATCCAACTCAAACAAGTAATGAAGCTTTGGAAGGCCATAAGTTTCAATGGAAAATCTTCTCCTGCTCCCTCAGGTTTCCTTCCTGTTTACATTGGGTGGAATCGAACCCGGTTCCTGATCCCCACCCGCTACCTCAACTTTCCGATCTTCGCGGCTCTTCTTCGGAAGTCTGGGGAGGAATTCGGTTTCAAGGCCAACGGAGGCATAGTGTTGCCGTGTGATGTTGAGTTCTTCAAAGAGGTCTTGAACTTGCTTCAAAAAGATGAGAGAAGGTATGGGAGCCTAGAGGTACCTGAGTTCTTGAAGAGGATTTCTGAGGTTCGTAATTTTGATTATTCCTCTACGATGTGCAGCAAGGAAGATAGCCATAGTTGCGATCATCATCAGGGATACTTAAGACCTTTGCTGCAAAAAGCTAGGGCCTGATTGTTACATGGATATATTTTTTCTTTATTCGTGGTGGGTGGAAAATTGTGAATATCATTCACTGTTCTCTAAATCTCCGTCTATGCATTGTCTTGATTAATGCCTAGACGTTTGAAAATTAGGAAATGACACCTAGATCTGTTGAGATGCCGCCTAGACCGCCTAGGCACCTGCTCAGACCTATATAGGTTGTGACTCACTTATACATAAAATAGATAACTTTCATTTTACATTTAATTTTTTTTCAATAAATTGTAAGAGATCTGTTGAATACTTAAATGAACAGACATTATATGCTTGTTCCCTGTATTTTCATTATGTTCCAATACTTCATAATGCATATTTCATTCTATTTTGTAGTTCATGATAAAATTATATATATTTTAAATATAAACAAACACTTATTTACACAAAATATAATAGATTTACTTAAATTTACCTAGTCCACCTAGATGCCCGCCTAGCCTCATAGACGTTAGGTCTCGGCTTACCGCCCGACTAGCGCCTAGCGTCTTTCAGAACCTTAATATCATTCAATCTTTCTTTTATTTCTTAATAGTTTGGGCAATCTAATTTATAGCTTTGAGATTCTAATTTCATTGTTGTCCGCGTATATGGACGAGAATTATTGTCTTATGTTGTACTTTGAATTCAAACTTATATTAATTGGCATTCTTCAATATTAATGTTAATTATATGATGTTTCCCTTGGGGGTGGAATGTTGGATATGAGAGTAGGAAAGATGAGATCAAATTTTGTGCACTTAAAATGAGTGTGATCTCTCTGTAGCTCAAATTATATATTTTAAATGAATTTAAATTGTTAAGAATCAATAACAAAAGGAGTAGGACATCCGCTGTTACACTACGTCAACTTCTACATATTGTAATATATTGGCATAGCAAAAATCATACTAACTACTAACGACCAATTGGTAAAAATGCTTCAAAAAATAATTCTCAAGTGGGAAGTGTGTATGAAGTCTAGGAGCCGAAATGTTTGCTGAAGAAGAATACACCACGGCGATGTACCACTTGTTTGTAAGCAGTTAATTCGTGGAGATGAGCTTTTAATTTCATCGAGAAAGAACGAAAAAGAAAAGTTTTCAAAATAAAAAAAATATAAGAAAGGATAATGATTGTGTTTCCTCGTGGAAAACGTATTTGTTTTTTAACTTAGGATTAATGTATCGTCATTTATAAATATTATAATTAAGATCGTTTATTTTTTTTATTATTATTTAAAAATTACATAAGCAAAAAATTCATTCAATAAGTACAACTTTTGGTCATCCATGCAAACCAATCGACGATTTAGGTAACAAATAGCATCTTGACCGTCCATTTATTTGATACACATGGATGACTAATGTTTTGTAACTGAATGATTTTTTACAATAAGAAACATAAAATATTATCCAATTAATAGAAATATGTTGCAAGTGGTCCTTTACCATAATGATAAAAATGTGTTGAGATCTTACATGACGGCATGAGTTCGAACTTCATTGATGATTAATATAACATTTGATCAAACAAAATTTATCTTTAGATAAAAAATAAAAATAGAACTAATAAAAGCATGTTTCACTTTCATTTATCTAGCTGACATGTCAAAAATCTTATCTTGGGGGGCCCACTTTGGAGGCTTAGCTCATTCAACATTTTCGACTCAGAAGAGTGTTCCTTGGTCGCACCACAAGAAAAGAACAACAAAACCGTTAATCTGAGAAATTCCGAGGGAAAAAGCAGCAACGCCAGTCATGTCGTTCGCAGCAACAGCAGCGACAACGATGACGACATGCCGCTTCGTTACGCTTCGAATTCAGTGCACTGATTCCAAGCCCAGAACTGGTTTCGGAAGCAAAACCAACAGCAAGAACAAGAACAGGAACAAGAACAACCTCAGCCAGGTCCCATGTTGTCTGCAATTGTTCACCAAGTTTGATCCTTTTCATTTTGTTTTAATTAAATTAGAAATCTTTACTTGATTTGACTCAGAAATCTGTGCTAAAACTTCATATTTGCCAAGCAGGAATCAACTACCAAACGGTCTGGTGGCGTTCCTACTCGTAAGTGAATCAACCATTTACTTATATATATATATATATGTATTGATTTTTGGCTACTACCCAATTGAATATTTCTAGAAATTTTACAAAATTAATGACCAATTTGGAGGCTTGTTTAATTATTTTGTAATTTGTAGTCCCACATTTGATTAGTGGGTTCTCCTCGATGCTTTTTATTGCATATAGTTCAAGCTGACATTTCCGTTTGTAGAGGCACCCGGGTTAAGTTCTCGGTTCGATGGAAAGGTTAAGAGAAACTCTGCTGAGCTTGAGTTTGAGGAACGTCTAGCAGCAGTCAGAAGGTAAAAGTTTATGTGTGTATTGCTGCATTAGCATATCATAAGATCTTATTGGATGGTTCCATATTTGTAATGTTTAGTTTAGTATTGTTTCAATTAAGTATCATCAATTGTGTACGAAATTCAGTTCAGCACTTGAGCAGAAGAAGGTAGTGGAGAAAAAGGAATTTGGGCCAATTGACTATGATGCACCTGTTGAGTTGGAGAAAACGGATGAGAAAAAAATTGGACTCGGTGCACAGGTAATATTTTCTGCATTCTGCTTTCTGACTTGTAAATAAATACGAAGAATCAATTTCGTGGTATACATGTCACTAATTCAAAGTTTGTCATGGTATAGATTGGAGTAGGTGTAGCTGTAGTGGTCTTTGGTTTGGTTTTTGCTCTTGGAGACTTTCTTCCGTCTGGAAGGTATGGCATAGTAGATTAAAGGTCTTTTACGTATAGAATAACCTTTATTTTGCCATCTTTCTAGAGTCTTCCCATAACCGCTTGATTTATCATACTTTTCTTAGTTTTGGCACATGATTTTGGAAAAAAAATGTGAAACATTAGGGATTTATGGTATCTCATATTCTTAATATTTTCTTATTCTAGTAGTTGTTTGTTGAATATATTCAGAGGAATGATTTCATTTTGATATGGTCTCCAAGTTTTCAGTTTGAGCCCTACTGAGGATACTGCAGCAACCGCCAATAAACTGTCCGAAGAAGAGAAAGCGTCACTTCAGGTAAGTTTTTTCATCTCAAAACTTGTGTAATGTCGTGACCCAACTTTTCTGTCACTGGTGTGATTGTATCTCTTGTGCACTTCTCCATCAACTCTTATTCCATAATTTCCACTTGCCCAATTCTAATAAATTAAATCCTATTGTGTGTTATGAAAGAATCATGAAAAGATCATTGACACTTTTACCTTTGGTCTGTGTCAGACTAGGCTGAAAGAATATGAAGCAACGCTTAGTAACTCCCCAAAAGATCCAACTGCTCTTGAGGTGAGCTGTAGTGTGAAACACAAGACACTATTGTGCTTCCTTTGTTACTGAATCCTGCTACTGCTTGAACTATAATTTTACTTATTGAAGTTGGACTTCGATTTTCTATTTAGTCAACAATTGCTTGAAACTCGTGGTTTTGTTGCTTATTATACTTAATATGCTCAATCATTAACATCAAAACTATTCCTGGTCAAGAAAAATAATCGGGTTGATAACAATTGCTTATGCCAATTCTGGTTAAACTGTTTGACTTGATAGCTTTCATCACGAACCAAAGTCCAAGGACAATGATATCTTAGTTATTTAATGAGAAGTCTTGATAAAAGATTCTGGAACAAAAAAGTTTAGGGGGAGGGGAGGCTACCCCAACCTAGGCAAGGGGATACCACAAGCCTCTTTGAGGACTTATAGAGGGGATCTGAGCCCTTTTTTGGCTTTTATAGATCACCCACCAAGAGGGATTTCCGGTAGTGGGACTTGAACCTAGGCCTTGGTTTAGTGAAGAGAGCGATCCTTACCAACTCATATAACCCTTGTTGGCAAAGATTTTACATTATATGTTTTTTCTGGTCTGGAATCTGGTTAAAGATATGATCCGGTAGAACCCAACCTAATCCTAGTCCTCTGTTCTGGATTAAAAAGTTGGAAAAAATTGAAAATAATAAATGGCTTGATAAGCCTGTCTTCATGTTGTTGCCTTTGAAAAAAGAAAATAACCATGCACAATTGGTGAAAGAATATTACTACAATTGTAAAGACTAAGGCAAAATCAGGTCTTAATTTGATTGCCGATGGTTCTGGTCTACCATCGAATCTCAAGTGGCAGCCATCTTTTGCAGGGAGCTGCGGTAACCTTAGCAGAATTAGGAGAATATACACGGGCTTCAACTCTGCTTCAAGACTTGATTAAGGTTTGGTCATGTTTGCTTTTGGATTTATCGCATATTGTTTGTGGCAGCACATGCTGTTTAAAATGTTCTGTTAGGAGAATCTCACGCCAATGGATTGGTTACGCAGGAGAAACCAAGTGATCCCGAAGTTTTTCGTTTGCTTGGAGAAGTTAAATATGAACTCAAGGATTTTGAAGGAAGTGCTGCTGCATTTAAGGTTTCTTCATCGGTCAGTCTCTGAAACTGTGAACACTGAGCCCAACCGATTCAAATAAATTTCTATCACTGAAGATGTGTTGATATTTATTAGTTTGCTGATAATGATCATTAATCCCTACTAACGTAAGTTCATTAAAATTCTGAATATGAATGTTGTGTTGCTGTGTGACAGATGTCTAAAGATCTCAAATTTGAAGTTCTGCGTGGCCTTACGAATGCATTACTTGCTGCTAAGAAACCAGATGAGGTTTCCCGTTATTCTTTGTGAATTGAAATAAAATGCATTAACCTTGATTTCAGAATATTCCTGAGATAGCATTTTTATTGAGGTCATGAGGCAGGGTCCAAACCATTTACCACGGTTCTTAAAATTCTTTTTCTGGTATCAAATTTGTCATCTAAAATAATTTTACCTGTTCTAGATATGACATTTCATTTCCATATGGCTTGACTTTGCCTTGCCAATGGAATCTGGTTGGCTCGCTTGCACCAATTGTTATTTATTGGTCTGATCGCATGTTTGAGTAATGTTCTGAGATTTTGCTTCACAATTGTCCCCTATTTATTCTACACACTCTACTGAGTGTCTTACAACTAGTAAAATTATACTTATTGCAGGCTGTTCAATTCCTTCTTGCCTCTCGTGAACGTATGAATGTGGACAAGCCAGACACAAAGGCTGGAAGTAGTGCGACTGAAACAAATTCGCAGGTGGACCCTATTCAAGTGAGTCACAGATTCTATTGTATTACGTAATTTGGCATCATGAAAATGGCTCATGAACAACAATTGCACTTTTGTGCGTTACTGAGAAGAAAATGTTTTGACCCTTTTTATTTTAATTTGCTCTCTCTCTCTCTCTCTCTCTCTCTCTCTCTCTCTCTCTCTCTCTCTCTCTCTCTCTCTGTGTCCCCATGTTTTAAATTTTCTGTTCGGTTCTTTATTATTGTGCATTCAAATGCTTATTGTTATCCAATATTTGATCCTTTGGTTGTTCCTCTCTTCATTTTGTTATGCCACAAATAATCAGGTCGAATTACTTCTTGGAAAAGCCTATTCAGATTGGGGCCATATCAGTGATGCTGTTTCTGTCTATGACCGGCTCATCTCTAGTCATCCAACTGACTTCCGTGGTTACTTGGCCAAGGTTTTCTTCTTTTTTGCCGTCCTTTTTCTAGAGAAGATTGTGCAAGGCTTTCCGTTTCACCTTTGTTAGTGCTTTGCATATGTATTCACATACAGCTAAACTCAAAAAAGCCTTAATCAAGTTCCTAATTACCAAAAGAAAATAAGGTTCCTCCTAATGACACAGGGTTGGTTGGATGTCTTAGAAAGGAAAAAATAAATAAATAAAACTACAAACAACTCAGGGTTGGCAACGTAAATGTCATTTAGCTCTAACCTAGAAACCTATCGTCTGTTACATGACTGTTGATAATGTTTGGCCTTGTCCTTTAAGGTTCTTCAGACTCGCTTGGTAGCATTTCTTTATTATGAAGAATTGTTCTTTAAGTGTTTCCTAGGGTTATAGAAGCACTTTACTGTGTTTTGGAGAAAAACATGCTTCCTTAAGAAGTGCTTCAAGTGAAGATCATGGAAGTGCTCCTGTTTATTGCAATTTTTAGTGCTAACAAAAAAAGCACCCCTACTGAATATAAACAGCAACGATGGTCCTTGAACTATTTTTATGGTATTCTGCATAACTCTTTTTCGCATCGGTATTTTGGCCAGTCTGCATGTGCTAGATGATCCTAGGTATTTCTGACGAAGAAGAACTTGCATTAAAGTTGGCTCTGTAATGGTTCTGCAGGGAATTATTTTGAGAGAAAATGGTAAAGCTGGAGAAGCGGAGAGGATGTTTATACAGGTAAATATATGCATGTCTGTTTGCAGATGAACTATATTTCAGTAGATACACACGCATGCAAGTGCACACACATTTCGTGTAAAGACAATGTTTATACTGGTAAATATAGGTATGTCTATTGGCAGACGAAGTATATTTCTGGAGGCACATGCTTACCTGCACATGTACACACATTACATGTAAAGGGTATTCAATTTAGGACAATAACGCTACTGGAAAGCCGTATGCCGTTCCAATTTTCGAATCCCATGGAGTATAATTTAGAGGATGACATCCTTTTTGTGTTTGTGTCAACTATATGTCAAATTCAGATGTCTAATTGGCCTAGCGTGCAGGCATGTTTGTTTAAGTGGCAAGGGATGCAGCTAATCTATATACCATGGAGTTGCATCAAATTTAGCTATGAACTATGGTGTTTCATGTGCAGGCACGGTTCTTTGCACCGGATAAAGCCAAAGCATTTGTAGATCGATACTCAAGATAATGACCACATTGTTGTTCCTCAAGTAGGGTGTGCCATATAGGTCTTGGACGAAATATCTAGTCACGGGGGCTTCTTTCTAGTTCGCTTAACCATTGAAATTCAGATATGCTTCCCTCCAACGGACTGCTCATTTTCTCTCGAAAACCACCTCCCCGACCTCTACCACTTCGAATCACTTCACTCACGGTTGCAGAGACCTAAAGAATTTTCACAAATAATTTTACTCAACTCGTGATCAAATGAGCTGTGAAAGAAGTAGATGATAGTATTTTCGAGGATGAGTTTGTATAATTTTGTTATTGATTCTGATTTTCCATGGCCGGTAGCTTTCCACATTATTCAATCATCGACGAAATATAGCCTTCGGACGGTCTTTATCACAAAAGTTACCCATTACTGTATGATTGTGAGCTTTTGTTGATCAGAACTATATATTTCGTTCCCAAAATTTACTGTTTTAATTGCACTTTTTAACGAGTCTTACAAATTATTCAAGTTGGTTTTTCCCTTGTGAGCTAAGCATGGTTAAGAAAAACAAGTTTTTTCTATCGTTATCGTTTTGATACAACTTTATTGATATCAAGACGAATATATCAAGTGAACGGGACAATGAGTCAATGAGTAAACTATAATTTGACATCCAACTCACTTTTTAATATTTATGAGAAAGAAATTTAAAACCTCTCTATGCCGTTTAAGATCACACGACGTTTAAGAAAAACAAATTAAATAAAATACATTTTATATGTTGAAATCGATTTCCAACCCTTTGTTCATAACCCTTGGCTAATGTAAAAGGCAAATTAACTTTCTCAATAGGAATTATATTTAATATTACACCAATGAAATGCATTTCCCTTCCAACTTTTACCACTACAAATTTGATCAACAACCCAAAAAAACCCTTAATCCAAAAGAACAACCCAAAAAAACCCTTAATATTCAAGCGTTATCCTTAGTGGCACTCCTAACAGTGTTCCAAATCTCCCCAAAACCCCTAATCACATGAGGAAGAACAGTCTCAATGCCCTTCAAAGTGACCCCAGAAGCAACCCCAATTCCAAAAGCTTCACCAAATCCAGGCTTCGAATCAACCTTCATGTTCAGAATTGCAAGGCTATTGTTGGCGCTGTCAATTTTCCTTGAAGTCTCGGCCAAAATCTTGTCCTTTCTGCCCCTGCCGGAAGATATGACCCTATAGAGGGCGGTCTGAAGGTCACCTATGACCTTCAGAGAGGCCTCCTGGGAGTCCAGGCCCTGGGACTCGTAGTGGGATATGAGTTCTTGTGCGGTTGGCAGCTTTGTCTTTTGGGGTTTTTGTGGGGTTGGGGCTGCGGATGTTGTGGGGATTTTGGGGTTTTGAGGGACGGATTTGTTGAAGGTTGGCTTTTCCATTGGTGCGTTGGAAAGATTTGTGGGAAATACAGAGAAAGATCGAAGCTTTTTAGGGGTTTTCGTGTGGGCTTTTTGGGAAGTCGAGGGGAGGAGCTTCCAATGGGGGATCTTGAAGGGTTTATGGAAAGATAAGATGGAACTCCTGTGGGGACTGCGAGGGTAAAATGGTCTAAAAATATATGCTTGCTACGAAGCGTTTCGCCATATATTGGACCGGGTCTTTTAGGTTGTGTGTTGAATTATATTGGGCCAATGCTAATATTTTTTGACTCGGCCTATCGGCCTAAGCTCATCCATATGAGCCATGACACTAGTAACATATTTACGTGGGAATTGGAAGGGCGATAGCAAACCGTGCGAAGTTATTCTTCCTGTACGTGACATTATTTTAGTACACAAAATTTATAATTGAAATCGCTTCATTCTATTGATCATGTAGATGTAGTTCAAAAGATTAGAACAATCATTTGAAGGTTTTACTGACGATAATCACTATTTGGAGTCACTCTTTTTAAGACGTGCAGAAGAAAAATCTTTACTACTTATCACAATATAGATTTTATTACTCTGTAAAATTAGTTGATATTAAGATGAAAATTTTTATGACTTCGTAAAATAATACATAAAATTAACTTCAAACCACATGAAATATTAAATATTAATACGAGAAAATAGTTTTAACAGGACTAAAAAGGGTTTAGGGTCCGTACCCTAAGAAAAAACTACGATAACAATGATAATGACAACAAAAATACTCTTTACGGATCCGTACCCATGCTGAAACTGCAGAACATCTAGAATAAAAAACCTAATGAAACAGAAAAATCTTAACTAACGACATCATGGGTTTAGCCTAACACGGAACACTCCTTTAACTAGGATCTACAAGAGCGACTAATAAACATAAAACAACTGCGAAAACGAAGAGTGGTACTTGATAATAAAAAGTATCTACCCAATCCCAGCGGCGGGGGCCTTGAAGTAGTAGTAAAGCCTGCAATTCTTCTCGAGTCACACCATCACGTCGAGCCCAGATAATGGTAGCAAGGTTACCATAGTTAGATGGAAGTCCGTCAAGGACGTGATCAACAAAATCGCAGTCATCGAGTGGAGATCCAGAGGCGGCGAGGTCGTCAGCTATGTCTTCTGCCTCCTCTAGGTATTCCTCCATTGACATCCTTCCTTTCGTTAGGGTTTGAATACGAGCCTTAAGCTGTAGGACGTGAGCTTTCGCTACCGGAGCGAGTCGCTTCTCCAAGTTTAGCCATACATCTCTAGCACTTGCGCAACCTACTGTGTAACAGAGTAGTGTGGAGTCTACTAGATTTGCACTGATGAGGGTCATACATGTTCGGTCCTTCTTGATCCAACTCGAATAGGCTGGGTTTTCAACCGTGGAGATCTTGCCTCTTCGATCCATCAGAAATTGTGGTGGAGGCTGCTCTAGTCCTTCCACCATGTTGAACATGTCGTAGTACTTTAGAATGGGGATGAAGGAAGACCTCCAAAGAAAATAGTTGGTTCTGGTGAGGTAGACTGGCACAAGTTCCGCAACAGCTCGGGTCTCAGTGAGAGGTAGGAAGTTTGGAGCTGATGAAGGGATGGTGACTAGGGACTCTGAACCAGTATTATGGGATTCTTCTGCCATGGTCAATCAATCGGATTGGTCTACACACGAAAACATAAAATTTATCATTCATGCATGTAAATTCACAAGTTCTTAACCAACCAACACACAGGAATTTCATAAATAATCAATCAACTGGAAATTATTTCATAAACTAGAGTTTACTCCTCGGCTAACCTGGAGAAGATTATAAACACATTGGGTTAATTATTAGAAAGAAATCAAGAAATAAAGGCATTATACATGGAAGAATGGACAAGAGAAAAACCTGAGGTACGAATCTATCTATGTTCTTCACCGTCTGTCGAATTCTGTTGTGGTTCCTTGAATCTTAAGTCGTACGTCCTTTTTATAGTGCAAGTTTCTTGCGGAGTACACCTTGTATGCATTGAGCTATAATTCTTGTACTTCTCGTATTCTATCTATCTCTTATATTTCTTGGATTCCTATGCAACTATGATTCTTATGTTTAGAACTTTTATATGTACGGATCAGGATCCTCTCCTGAGTTAATGGTGAGAATCCTCCTGAGCAAGCCCATCGGGCTGTTCAAATTTTATCCAACGGTTACAAATTAGGGGTACCTTTAAAAATTATAATAATTGTAACTGTTGGATAAAATTTGAACGGTTTGATGAGCTTGCTCAGGAGAATCCTCACCATTAGCTCAGGAAAGGATCCTAATCCTATTTGTACGTACCAAATTTAAACTGTTCACTCTTTTAAAAAAAAAAAAACTATTTTACCCACATGCATAAACCTAATTTAAATATCAGAAACACATTAGTAGAGAAAAGCCAATCTTTTCAAGTCGTCTTTCAATATTAGAGTCCTTTTTCGAGTACTGTTTTGCTTATCGCCCCAAGCGAATATGGACGAATCCTTACCCAACTCCCCTGTATCTTATATCAATAATGTTATTCTTATCATATTTTTTACCACAATTGTCTACCATCTTAGATAGTATCCGATGTGGTTTAATTTCAAAATGTTAATCAATAATTAATAAAAAGATTGCTAATTAAATGATGATTGTGGTATACGAGAAGTCTTCTTCTTTCACCTAAGATTATTTAAGTGTTTTTATTAATAAAAAGATTGAAATTAAATGATATAACTTGTTCAACTCATATGCCACCTCAGATGGAAAAGCCTATTCAAACTGGGGCCATATCAGTGATGCCGTTTCTGTCTATGACCGGCTCATCTCTAGTCATCCAAATGACTTCCGTGGTTACTTGGACAAGTTTTCTTCTTTTTTGCTGTCCTTTTTCTAAAGAAGATTGTCAAAGGCTTTCCGTTTCACCTTTGTACAGTGCTCAAGATATGTATTCACATGCAGCTAAACTCAAAAAAGCCTTAATCAAGTTCCTAATTACCAAAACAAATAAGGTTCCTCCTAATGACACGGGGTTGGTTGGATGTCTTAGAAAGGGAAAAAAAACTACAAACAACTCAGGGTTGGCAACATAAATGTCATTTAGCTCTAACCTAGAAACCTATCGTCTGTTACATTACTGTTGATAATGTTTGGCCTTGTCCTTTAAGGTTCTTCAGACTCGCTAGGTAGCACTTCTTTATTATGAAGAATTGTTCTTTTAGTGTTTCCTAGGGTTATAGAAGCACTTTACTGTGTTTTGGAGAAACACATGCTTCCTTAAGAAGTGCTTCAAGTGAATATCTTGGAAGCGCTCCAGTTTATTGAAATTTTTAGTGCTAACAAAAAAAGCACCCCTACTGAATATAAACAGCAACGATGGTCCTTGAACTATTTTTATGGTATTCTGCATAACTCTTTTTCGCATCGGTATTTTGGCCAGTCTGCATGTGCTAGATGATCCTAGGTATTTCTGATGAAGAAGAACTTGCATTAAAGTTGGCTCTCTAATGGTTCTGCAGGGAATTATTTTGAGAGAAAATGGTAAAGCTGGAGAAGCGGAGAGGATGTTTATACAGGTAAATATATGCAAGTCTGTTTGCAGATGAACTATATTTCGGTAGATACACACGCATGCAAGTGCACACACATTTCATGTAAAGACGATGTTTATACTGGTAAATATAGGTATATCTATTGGCAGACGAAGTATATTTCTGTAGACACATGCTTACCTGCACATGTACACACGTTACATGTAAAGGGTATTCAATTTAGGCCGTTCCAATTTTCGAATCCCATGGAATATAATTTAGAGGATGACATCCTTTTTGTGTTTGTGTCAACTATATGTCCAATTCAAATGTCTAATTGGCCTAGCGTGCAGGCATGTTTGTTTAAGTGGCAAGGGATGCACTTAATCTATATACCATGGAGTTGCATCAAATTTAGCTATGAACTATGGTGTTTCATGTGCAGGCACGGTTCTTTGCACCGGATAAAGCCAAAGCATTTGTGGACCGATATTCAAGATAATGACCACATTGTTATTCCTCAAGTAGGGTGTGCCAAATATCTAGTCACGGGGGCTTCTTTCTAGTTCGCTTGACCATTGAAATTCAGATATGCTTCCCTCCAACGGACTGCTCATTTTCTCTCGAAAACCACCTCCCCGACCTCTACCACTTCGAATCACTTCACTCACGGTTGCAGAGACCTGAAGAATTTTCACAAATAATTTTACTCAACTCGTGATCAAATGAGCTGTGAAAGAAGTAGATGATAGTATTTTCAAGGATGAGTTTGCATAATTTTGTTACTGATTCTGATTTTCCATGGCCGGTAGCTTTCCACATTATTCAATCATTTAAGAAATATAGCCTTCGGACAGTCTTTATCACAAAAGTTACCACATAACTGTATGATTGTGAGCTTTTGTTGATCAGAACTATATATTTCGTTCCTAAAATTTACTGTTTTAATTGCACTTTTTAACGAGTCTTACAGATTATTCAAGTTGGTTTTTCACTTGTGAGCTAAGCATGGTTAAGGAAAACAAGTTTTTTCTATAGTTATTGTTTTGATACAACTTTATTGATATCGAGGCGAATATATCAAGTGAACGGTACAATGAGTCAATGAGTAAACTATAATTTGGCATCCAACTCACTTTTTAATATTTATGAGAAAGAAATTTAAAACCTCTTACAAGTGACGAATAATACTGTTTAAGATCACACGACGATTAAGAAAAACAAGTTAAATAAAATACAATTTATATGTTGACATCGATTTCCAACCCTTTGTTCATAACCCTTGGCTAATGTAAAAGGCAAATTAACTTTCTCAATAGGAATTATATTTAATATTACACCAATGAAATGCATTTCCCTTCCAACTTTTACCACTACAAATTTGATCAACAACCCCAAAAAACCCTTGAACTAAATCCGACCCAAAAGGGCAGAAAAAAGAAAAAAAAAAAAAAAAAAAAAAAAAAGAACATCAAGCGTTATCCTTAGTGGCACTCCTAACAGTGTTCCAAATCTCCCCAAAACCCCTAATCACATGAGGAAGAACAGTCTCAATGCCCTTCAAAGTGACCCCAGAAGCAACCCCAATTCCAAAAGCTTCACCAAATCCAGGCTTGGAGTCAACCTTCATGTTCAGAATTGCAAGGCTATTGTTGGTGCTGTCAATTTTCCTTGAAGTCTCGGCCAAAATCTTGTCCTTTCTGCCCCTGCCGGAAGATATGACCCTATAGAGGGCGGTCTGAAGGTCACATATGACCTTCAGAGAGGCCTCCTGGGAGTCCAGGCCCTGGGACTCGTAGTGGGATATGAGTTCTTGTGCGGTTGGCAGCTTTGTCTTTTGGGGTTTTTGTGGGGTTGGGGCTGTGGATGTTGTGGGGATTTGGGGTTTTGAGGGACGGATTTGTTGAAGGTTGGCTTTTCCATTGGTGGGTTGGAAAGATTTGTGGGAAATACAGAGGAAAATCGAAGCTTTTTAGGGGTTTTCGTGTGGGTTTTTTGGGAAGTCGAGGGGAGGGGCTTCCAATGGGGGATTTTGAAGGGTTTATGGAAAGATAAGATGGAACTCCTGTTGGGACTGCGAGGGTAAAATGGTGTAAATAATTGCTTGCTGCGAAGCGCTTCGCCATAGATTGGACCGGGTCTTTTAGGTTGTGTGCTGAATTATGTTGGGCCAATGCTAATATTTTTGGACTAGGCCTGTCGGCCTAAGCTCATCCATATGAGCCATGACACAAGTAATATATTTACTTGGGAATTGGAAGGACGATACCTAACCGTACGGAGTTATTCTTCCTGTCGTGACATTATTTTATTACACAAATTTTCTAATTGAAATCGCTTCATTCTATTGATCATGTAGATCTAGTTCAAAAGATTAGAACAATCATTTGAAGGTTTTACTGACGATAATCACTATTTGGAATCACTCTTCTTAAGACGTTCCAAAGAAAATTCTTTACTTCTTATCACAATATATATTTTATTCTTCTGTACAACCAGTCGAAATTGAGATGAAAATTTTTATAACTTCGTAAAATAATACACAAAATTAACTTCAAACCACATGAAATATTAATACGAGAAAATAGTTTTAACAGGAATTAAAAGGGTTTAGGGTCCGTACCCTAATAAAAAACGACGATAACAATGATAACGACAACAAAAATACTCTTTACGGATCCGTACCCATGCTGAAACTGCAGAACATCTAGAATAAAAAACCTAATGAAACAGAAAAATCCTAACTAACGACATCATGGGTTTAGCCTAACACGGAACACTCCTTTAACTAGGATCTACAAGAGCGACTAATAAACATAAAACAACTGCGAAAACGAAGAGTGGTACTTGATAATAAAAAGTATCTACCCAATCCCAGCGGCGGGGGCCTTGAAGTAGTAGTAAAGCCTGCAATTCTTCTCGAGTCACACCATCACGTCGAGCCCAGATAATGGTAGCAAGGTCATCATAATTAGATGGAAGTCCGTCAAGGACGTTATCAACAAAGTCGCAGTCATCGAGTGGAGATCCCGCGGCGGCGAGGTCGTCAGCTATGTCTTCTGCCTCCTCTAGGTATTCCTCCATTGACATCCTTCCTTTCGTTAGGGTTTGAATACGAGCCTTGAGCTGTAGGACGTGAGCTTTCGCTACCGGAGCAAGTCGCTTCTCCAAGTTTAGCCATACATCTCTAGCACTTGTGCATCCTACTGTGTAACAGAGTAGTGTGGAGTCTACTAGATTTGCACTGATGAGGGTCATACATGTTCGGTCCTTCTTGATCCAACTCGAATAGGCTGGGTTTTCAACCGTGGAGATCTTGCCCCTTCGATCCATCAGAAATTATGGTGGAGGCTGCTCTAGTCCTTCCACCATGTTGAACATGTCGTAGTACTTTAGAATGGGGATGAAGGAAGACCTCCAAAGAAAATAGTTGGTTCTGGTGAGGTAGACTGGCACAAGTTCGGCAACAGCTCGGGTCTCAGTGAGAGGAAGGAAGTTTGGAGCTGATGATGGGATGGTGACTAGAGACTCTGAACCAGTATTATGGGATTCTTCTGCCATGGTCAATCGATCGGATTGGTCTACACACGAAAACATAAAATTTGTTATTCATGCATGTAAATTCACAAGTTCATAACCAAGAAGATAAGAACCAACCAACACACAGGAATTTCATAAATAATCAATCAACTGGAAATTATTTCATAAACAAGAGTTTACTCCTCGGCTAACCTGGAGAGGATTATAAACACATTGGGTTAATTATTAGAGAGAAATCAAGAAATAAAGGCATTATGCATGGAAGAATAGAGAAGAGAAAAACCTGAGGTACGGATCTATCTATGTTCTTCACCGTCTGTCGAATTCTGTTGTGGTTCCTTGAATCTCAAGTCGTACGTCCTTTTTATAGTGCAAGTTTCTTGCGGAGTACTCCTTGTATGCACGGAGGTATAATTCTTGTACTTCTCGTATTCTATCTCTTATAGTTCTTGGATTCCTATGCAACTATGATTCTCATGTTTAGGAGAACTTTTATTTGTACGTACCACATTTAAACTGTTCACTCCTTTTTTTTTTAATAAAACTATTTTACCCACATGCATATACCTAATTTAAATATCAGAAACACATTTCCACAAAAACAAGAAAATTAGTAGTTGCAGATATAAAGTAGAGAAAAACCATTCTTTTTAAGTCGTCTTTCAATATTAAAGAGTCCTTTTTCTTCCTAGCGAAAATAGATGAATCCTTACCCAACTCCCCACTGTATCTTATTTTCTTTCTCTGTTAAAACTTAGCCTCCTCTTAGTGGTTGGATAGGGATCGTTCTATTCAATGGTGGCGATGATGATACCTTGAAGGGCAAGGAAAAGGACAAGAGATGAGGTTTCATAATCAATTTTGATCATAGGCAGCAGCAGAACAAGGAAATCCCATGACCTAGATATAGAATAAGCTGGCAGACTCCCTCCTCGTCAGTAAGTTTGTAAAGGGCGAGGGGTATATGCATGTATTTATTTTATATATATCTAGAGAGAGAGAGAAAGATGTTAACAATGAGTTCATTAATGGACATCGGTGTTCGCGACTTTTTTTATTTTTTTTATTTTTTGAGAGGATGGTAGACATTTTGGTTGGTTTAAGCAGTAGAAGTTGCATTCCAAATTATGTGATGATCGACACATGGTGCTTTGTTTTTGTCATACAATTTATGTGATGAATTCCTCCGCACACTGATCAAATTGTTGGCACATGAAAAATTGCGCATACAACTGTGCATCAAGTTTACATATCTTTTCCTACGCCTCGGAATGAATGGAATTTTTCTTATCACAATGCTCAGAGCAAAACCAAAACCAATTCAAATGAAAAAAGAAATCCGAAAGAGATTCCAAAGATGAGTGATTTGAAAATCCCTTGTGTGTTGGATTCCTGAGCAGCTGAAAATCCTGGCAGAAGCCTCTGGGGGCAAGATAGCCGGACAATTTTAGGGCTACATAACTCTGGATTCCCCGTAAAGCTAAAACCGAAAATGAAACACGAACCAAATCGGACCGCACTGAACGGTTCCCTTTTTTTTTTTTTTTGCGGTTTTGAAACTGAACCACAATAAACTTCAGTTAGCCAATCTCATTGGGGATATTTCCGCTGAGGCTGTTATAGCCCAGATATACCGCAGGAGGAAGGTTGGGCAACTGATTATACCGCTGCCTAGTTGAACTTTTGGGTGCCACAACAAGGACGGGCAACTCTAGATAACTTATGTCCACTTTATTCCTGCCCTCTTTCGATGTCAAAACTGGTATCCCACAGAGCTCAACGGGAAATCCTCCGGTAATGAGGTTATTAGACAAATCCACAAAGAAAAGGTGGGGCAGACTACCCATCCATATCCGGGGCTAGAACCGGTTACAAAATTAAACGAGTCCAAGACATCAAGAGTCATAACCTTGGTACTCAACTACCATGTTAATTATGGCGGGGCATGATTGGGGAAAGTTTCTCTTCCCTTTGCATGCTAGAAATTAATCCGTGCGTTTTGAAGGAAAAATGCTCACGGTTAATTATTTGTCGAGTGACATTAATTTCCTTGACATTATCCGTTAGCGTATTTTGTGTTCTCGAAGCGCTTAGAGTGCCCAGTAGGCTCGTTGGAGTGAATTTGACATTGTTTAATATTAAAAAAAAAAAAAAAAAATGTAACAAAAGGATTAAGAATGCATGTGTGAAATTAGTGTAGAAAATCGAGTCGCTTAAATCTTACCCACGTAATAATACAACTAAATTCAAGCGAAATTAGTGTAGAAAATCGAGTCGCTTAAATCTTACCCATGTAATAATACAACTAAACTCAAGCGACATGAAATCCCATGTTAATAATATGAGAACATAGTTTAACAAGATTAAGGGATTGAGTTCTGCTATGATCGATCAATCGGATTGGTCTACACATGAAAACACTAAATATTTTTGCTTGTGAATCATAAGTTTAGAACTAAGAAAATAAAATGCAACCAATTCACAGGACTGTCATAAATAATCAAACAACGAAATTATTTTACAAGTTAGTAGGGTTTACTCCTCAACTAAAGCTGGAGAAGATTAAGCATACATGGAAATTAGAAACACATAGGCCTACAAAAGTTTAATTCGTGGCTTGTTCAGAATCTTTAACTATCCCTTTGTTTCGGAAACACAAATTCAAAGTCAGTGATGGTACTTCCTTTTTTGTCATACAACAAATACAAGAATTGGTAGAAGATATCCACGCACAGAGCAAGAAGGAAAGGATGCCGGTTGCTATTCAATTCAGTGTTACAGACTTGCCAATGTTTCAAAAGACGGTGATCATTGCATTGGATTCGGTGACTTGCCCTGCAGTACCCTAGTGCATTCTCTCTTTCGGGGAAATCCTTGGCTTGGACATTGTAAGGAAAGGAAATGGCATTTACCGAAAGATTTATTCATTACTGCTACATAAAGCCCTACATTACATAAAATATATGATGAAATTCGTCCATACATGCATCAAATTGTTCCCACATCAACACAACACCTACGTATGCGTCAAGTTTTCATCATACGCTTTGCAATGAATGGAATCCTTTTATCATCAATGTTTAGACCAAGACCAAAACCAATTCCAAAAAAAATGCCAAAAGAGATCCCAAAGAGGAGTGCTTTAAAAATTCCCTGTGTGTTAGATTTCTGAGCAGTTGAAACTACTGGCAGAGGACTCTCAGGGAAAGAGAGCTTCCCTGTTGGAAAGCCGCATAGTCCTGGATTCCCTTCAAAGCTAGAGTTGGTAAAAGTATCAAACTGACCTCCAGATGGTACAAGTCCCTGAAGACCATTGTATGCCACACTGAAGGAAGACAAAAAATGTAGACGTCCAAGAGAAGCAGGGATTCCACCGGATAGATGGTTAAAGGAGAGGTCCAATTTCTCTAAGTTGGTGAGGTTAGAAATCTGTTCCGGGATGTTGCCAGTGAAGTTGTTATAACTAAGGTCCAACACATGAATATACTTCAATCGACCAATTTCAGAAGGGATACTGCCAGTAAGGCTGTTGTTACCCAAATATATAGCTGGGGGGAGATTGGACAGCTGATTGTACTGCTGATTAGTAGCGCTGTTGGGCATCACAAAGACTGGCAACTCTAGATAACTTCTGTCCACCATATCACCGGCCTCTTTGGTTATCAAAACTGGCATCCCACAGAACGCAATAGGAAATCCCCCTCCAAGAAGGTTATTAGACAAATCTACGTAGAAAAGGTTGGGCAAACTACCCATCCAACCGGGGATAGAACCAGTTATAAGATTAAACGACAAGTCCAAGACTTCAAGAGTGATAACCTTGGCTAGCATGGTGGGCACTTGGCCTGTTAATTGGCAACCCGCAATAGCAAAAACCTTAAGACTTTGGAATCCAACAGGGTCTCCAAGGCTTTTATCATCTGGCAAAGGCTCATTCAAAAAATTCTTGGACAAGACCAGAGTAGTCAGATTCTTGCAAACCTTCAGAATCCTAAAAGCCCCCGCGACATTTGTCAGGTTGTTGGTAGAGATGGACAGGTAAGACAATGATTCTAATGCGACTATTTCAGGTGATATCTCGCCCGTGAGCTGATTGCTGGCAAATCTAATAGCTGTTAGGGACTTGCATGAGTAGAGGCTTTGAGGTAACTCACCATTGAAGTTGTTGTTGCCAAGGTCCAGAGTGGCGAGATGTTGGAGAGTCGAAAAATTGAAGGCAGAGAGCTCTCCAGTCAAGTTGTTGATCCGCAAATTCAAGGTCGATAGATTTGTGCAGTTGGTGAGAGATGAAGGCACAGGACCTGTGAAGTTGTTGATGTGGAGGAGCAGCTTTTCCAACATTGAAAGGTTACCAATATGGCTGGGGATTTTCCCGGAGAATAGGTTTGAGTAGAGCTCTATGATCTTGAGATTGGTGAGCTTCACAATGCCATCACCGATGTGTCCAGAGAGGCTATTGACAGGAAGTGAAAGCTGTTGGAGATCAGCAAGATTGAGAATCTCATTAGGGAGAGAACCAGAGAGGCCGTTGAAGCCTGCACGGAAAACTTGGAGCTTGGAGCATGATCCGATTCCAGGGGGGATCGTGTCAGTGAAATCATTGAAGGACAAGTCGAAGAATGTAAGGGAAGCGTGATTGCTGCCGTTGCTCATCGGTATTGACCCGGAAAAGCTGTTGTTGCTGACATTGAAAATTGATATTGATGGGACAAGGACCGAAGACGGGATTGTTCCATTGAAGAAGTTGCTGGACAAGTTTATAATCTGAAGGTGGCTGCTTCCATTCGAAGATGGTGGAAAGCGGCCGTTGAGACGATTGAAGCTCAAGTCAATTACCTGAAGACTTGGGAGGGAAGAAAGCAAGTCATCTGGGAGAGAACCCAACAAGGAATTGTGGGAAAGATTGAGGTGGGTGAGACGGGTGAGGTTGGTAATGGCCGAAGAGACGAAGCCGGATAATCCTCTTTTCGGCAACCACAGCCGGATGACGCGGCGGTGGTCAAGTGGGTCGCAGGTGATTCCATCCCAAAGGCAGCAGTCAGTCGAAGCAGACCAATTCAACGGTGCCTTGAAGGACAAGGACAAGAGAGTGTCGCGGTCGAGCTCGTCACAGGAAGCATAAGCAGAGCAAGGCAGCAGGAAAAGTAGACCGGAAAGGAGAAGAAGCTGCGTTGCCGAGATGTTCTCCATGAATCTGTTCGTATCAATCTTCATGACCATAACCATCCCATGGAACTATAGTATATGCAAGTAACACCGAATGACATTTTACAAGAAAGAGCTTGAGTCAAATCCACCCATTGACATTAACCAAGAAAGAACACTAATCGAAAATCTGTCACATAAGAGCAAGTCCCCCAAAAGATAAGAAACTGTATGGAATAATTTTTATATACTGATCTATATCTATATCTATATATACACAGACACAGTGACACACAAACAAATGTAATAATCCTGTGTGTCAGGTCTCAGTTAACATGTACAAAGAAGCAGATGCATATGATCATAAGCGTTTACTTTTGAGAGCTGTTAGACTTGGTCTAGATCCCACTAAATAATTAGAAACTAATTAAGTTGGTTAATGCATCCAGCAACAGACTATTCCAATGTGTTTAAGATTATACTATGTTGACTGCGATCAATAACCTTAAATATATACCACCTTGTTAGTTGGGAGAAATAATACAATGCTGTATGTGGCTTTCTGCTATCACATCTTTTAACGTAGTTTAATTTGACTATAATGAATTGCATTATGTGAGGAATCACATTTTCTTCATAGTAATTTCTCACCTCTATGCTAAACCTTATATGTTAAACCATATACAGAAATAACCAACAACGATGATTACGTAAGATGAACGCGGTGCCACGTCAGCTATGTTTGTTGTAGCCTTTATGCAAGGCAGTTGTTACTAGTAGCTTAGTATATATAATAAGTTAGGGTAAAGTACAAAAAACTACCTCAACTATTGGTGTCACGACACTTTCATACTTCAGCTTTTAAAATTGACAATGTCATACCTCATCTTACGAATTTATGTCAATGTTATACCTTTCCGTTAGCTTGGCATGAATTTCTTAATTAAATGCTGACGTGACTTGATTCAGGGCCCACTTTCTATTTAAAAAATTAATAAAATGTTATTAAAAACTAAAAAAAATCATTTAATATTTTTTAAATATTAAAATAATAAAGAAAAAAAAAACAAAACAAAACAAAACCTTTCGTCCCTCCCTCCCTCCCCCATCTACTTGCTACAACCCAAAAAAAAAAAAAAGAAGAAGAAAAAAAACAAAACAAAACTTCAACCCTTCCCCACCCCACCCCCCTCCCCCCCGGCGTCCTTCTCTCTTCTCCCCCATCCCCCACCCCCTCTTCTCCCCCACCCGAGCCCCTACCTGCAACCCAGAACAGAAAAGAAAAAAAAAAAATCCCAGTTCGTCTTCCCCTCGCAACCTTCCGCACCCACACTTGCACCCACCCCCTGCGGAATCGGCCTAGCGAACGGGATTTGGGTTTTTTTTTTTCCTTCTTTTTCTTCCTCCTCCTTCTTTTTCTTTCTAGGTTGCAGGGGGTTGGATTTTTTTTTTCTTATGAACACACATTATATGCTTGTTCCCCTTATTTTCTTATGTTCCAATACTTCATAATATTTATGTGTTTGGACCGGATTTTACTTCATCAGCTCGAGTAATCAAAGCCGTTGAATGAGTTGAGTTCTAGACCGTTGGATGACAAATCAGTTGAGATAATTTTTAATATTATTAAAGGATGATATTATGGTTTTAATCATAATGATTATCTCTTAATAGTATTGAATTATCTAAACTTACCATTATTTGGAACACGGCTGGGTGATAAAGCCGTAGTATATGATAATGCCAAATAAAATAAATATTGCAATTGATGAGCAATTAGCGTGGCATTGCATGGTTCCACCTGTACAAATGAGTGGAAGAGGGAGTCGTTTGTTTAGATTAGGCTACCAAGGAAAGGAAAAGCACAACATGGGCTAAAATGCTCAGACTTAATGCATTTGGAAGTGAATATGGTTTGAAAACATTGCATGGTTATTTAGGATGCTATGGGAAGAGTTCCATGTGCTTGTAAATGGATCTAACTGCATGGTTATCATAAGTGGATAACAATTATCTAAGTGTGGCTTTGCTCCTTTGGAATAATATTCATAGGAATATTATTTATTTCGATTGGATACTCCAAGTCACGGCAACAACTTCACAGCGTGTTCATCAAGGCACGTCTCTATAAATACAAAGTGGCAGACGACATTCAAGGTCCTCTAATTCAACACACAAATTACCCTGTGCAAACCCTCACTCTACGCGAAACCTCTCAACAACCTTGAGATTTTTATTTAATTTCTTTTTCCGCTAACACATCTTCAGTTTGGATAAACAACACTGTGAAGGCAACCGGCGACATCTTCAGTTTGGATAAACAGCACTAGAGCTGTAGAATTAGCCGACCGAGGAGCACCTTCAATTTAGCACTGCTTCGAGACCGTCTGGTTATTTATCCAAGTCTCGATCAATAAGGATTTTCGAGTTCTTGTTGGTAGAGGTCATCTCATCAGCCTTCCTCGACCGCAGTTGCAAGATCAAGAAGTCAGCAACGTGCCGAACGCCACATCAACACATTTTACTCTCCGGCCGAACTTGGCAAACGAGTTGGCACGCCCCGCATACAACCGAAAGACGTAGTTAGCTTACTAATTACTCGGCATGTGCGCCACATAGGCTTGGTAGTTTTTAGGGTCAACAATATGTCATTCGATTTTGTAGCTTATAATGAAACTATATATATTTTAGGGTAAAGTACAAAACACTACCTCAACTATTAGTATCACGACACTTTCATACCTCATCTTTTAAAATTGATAATGTCATACCTCATCTTATGAATTTGTGCCAATGTTATACCTTCCGTTAGCTTGACGTGAATTTCTCAGTTAAATGCTGACGTGGCTTGATCTGGGACCCATTTTCTATTAAAAATTAATAAAATATTATTAAAAACTAAAAAAAATCATTTAATAATTTTTAAATATTATAATAATAAAGAAAAGTAAAAATAAATAATATATATATAAATAAATAAATAAAGCCTCATGTCCCCTTTCCCCACCCCCCCTCTTCTCTCTTCTCCCCCATCTTCATTTTCTTCCCCCTTCCTTCCTGCAACCCAAAAAAAAGAAGAAGAAAAAAAAAACCAATTTATCACCCCCCCCCCAACTCGTGATTTTCCCCGACCCCTTTCCTTTCTTCCCCCCTCCCATCTTCCCTAAACCCTCACCCACTACTTGCAACCCAAAAAAAAAAAAACTCAGATCCTGTTGAGGTGGAATCGAGAAACCTTCATGATGGGGTGGGAATGGTGGATTTGGGTTGGCAGGGGGTTGGGTTTTGGGGGGGAGGAACTGGGTTTGGTTTGGGTTTTTTATTTATTTATTTATTTATTTCTTCTTCCTTTTCTTCCTCCTTCTTCTTTTGGGTTGCAGGGGATTGGGTTTGTTGGTTGGGGGGGGGGGGGACGAACTGCGTTTGGTTTGTTTTTTTTTTCTTTTTTCCTTCTTCTTCTTCCTGTTCTTCTTTATGGGTTGCCTTTTTTTTATTTTTCCTTTCTTCTTCTTCTTTTGGGTGGGTTGGGGCGGGGGGTGATGGGTTTTCAAATTATTTATTTATTTATTATTATTATTTTGGTTGAAGATTAAGCAGGAAGATGAAGATGGGGAAGAATAGAGAGAGAGAAAGAGAGGGGGTTCTTCTTTCTGGGTTGCGTTTGGGTTGATGGGTTTTCAAATTTTTTTTTTTTTTTTTTTTGGTTGAAGATTAAGTAGGAAGATGAAGATGGGGGAGAAGAGAGAGAGAGGGTTCTTCTTTTCGGGTTGCGTTTGGGTTGATGGGTTTTCAAATTATTATTATTATTTTTTTTTTTTTGGTTGAAGATTAAGCAGAAAGATGAAGATGGGGGAGAAAAGAGTGAGAGAGAAGGGGAAGGGACGAAGTGAGGGGCTTTTTTTTTTTTTTTAACTTTTGTTTTAATATTTAAAAAATATTATATAATTTTTTTTTTAGTTTTTAATAATATTTTATTAATTTTTTTTAATAGAAAGTGGGCCCTGAATCAAGCAACGTCAGCCTTTAACTGAGAAATTAATGCCAAGCTAACGGAAGGTATAACATTGGCACAAATTCGTAAGATAAGGTATGACATTGTCAATTTTAAAAGATGAGGTATAAAAGTGTAGTGACACCAATAGTTGAGGTAGTTTTTTGTATTTTACCCTATATTTTAAGTATAAACAGACACTTACTTACACAAAATGTAATAAATTTACTTAAATTCACCTAGTCCGCCTGAACCCCACATAGACATCTAAGCGCTAGGCACCAGCCTGCCGTCTTTAAAACCTTGCCTTCTTGTATCTAATTTTTTATTTTTGAAACTAATGAGTATTATGGAATTTAGCATATATTATTCATCATTTTTCTAACATAAAATTGTATCCAAGAAGGATACCCAACATGCCCTAAGCTTCCTCCTTTTGTCAAAACATCAATACAAAGATTAGAGAGATTTCCTTTCGTTTCTTTGTTCTTAGGTTATGTCCTTCATTAATTTTAGTACAATAGTTATCTCCTTATACATTATTAAACCAGCAGTCAGCTGACTTGTACACTAACCGAACAACCAATATTGTAGAAAAATTTGCAAACTAAATGATGTGTCACCAATAAGGATGAGCATGCTTATTAACATTAAGCAATAAATCAATTATCAACTTCCATGTCCTTTAGTTTCCAAAATTTTGTCTAAAAATTTAGTCTCCTTAGCATTATCGATAGTCTATTAGATCAGATGAGGGTTTACTTTGAAAGGATTAGTGGCTGCTGGACTGGCTAAATATTCACATTCACATAATAAAATAATGACTGTTAGTTTAAACATGAAGCCAAAACTCGGGAGTTGCCAACCTACCTCTTAATCTAGTCAAATTTATGTTTATGTGGAAGTCATTTGCAGGGAGCAATTGAAATAATTAAGGACTCGGTTTAGAATTTTTTTCTATCTTTGTATGCGGTATAATATTCTAGTAAATAAGGTGTTGAGTTTCTGCACATGCATCCAGTGGCGGAACCAGAATTTTATGGCAATGGGGGTATGACAAAGAAGTTCTCAAATATTGGTTGTTCACATATACTTTAGGCCATACGTATGTCTAACATAGATATAATTTTGATCTTAAGTTTAGTTTTCTATATATCTTAGATCTTCCGATACTTCTTTATCCAATGTTTAGTGTTGAAAAAAAGTTTTTGGATTTGAATCCCATCCTCATTGATTGAAAACAAAGTTTTTGGTGCTCCATAGTTTTCTTTCTAAGCTAAATACGAACCAAACATGTATGTTTATTTTATTGCAGTTACATATCAAATACTCCAATCAATACACATTTATATTGGATTCCTTTTGGCAACACAAGTTCAAAGTCATTGATTGTCATACAATATATGTGATGAATTCCATAGACGGATCAAAATGTTGGCACAGCAAAAGCTAGTATCGATTTTACATTACAAAATACGCTAATGAAATGATTACTTCCTGCGGCCACCGATGAATGGAATTCTTTTATCATCAACGTTAAGACGAATGGCAAAGCCAATGCCAAAGAAAATCCCAAAGATGTCTTTGGCTTGGATCTCAGAGTATCCGTAAATGCTGGTTGAAGGCTTTGACAAGAATCCTGGATTGCATTCAAAGCTAGAGTTGGTGTAGACGTTCGAGAGAAGCAGGGATTTCGCCGGAGAGATGGTTATAAGAGAGGTCCACAATCTCTTAAGTTGGTAAGGTTGGAAATCTGTTCCAGGATGATGCCAGTGAAGATATATGGCTGGACGGAGGTTGGACAGCTGATTGTACTGCTGTTTATTAGCACTGTTGGGCTTCAAAAAGACGGGCAACTCAAGAGAACTTCTGTCCACCTTATCACCGACCTCTTTAACTCAAGGAAATTCTCATCTAACGAGGTTATTAGACAAATCTATGTAGCAAAGGTTTGGCTGACTACCCAACAAAGCCGGAATAGAACCATTTAGTAGGTCCAAGACTCTAAGATTTTTAAGCATGGCTAGCCAGGTTGGTATTTGTCTTGTGAATTGACAAGCGCCCAGGGCAAAAACCTGAAGACTTTGGAATCCAACTGGGTCTCCAAGGCTTTTGTCATCTGGGAAAGGCTCGTTCAAAAAATTCATGAACAAGACCAGAGTGGTCAGATTCTTGCAACCCTTCAGAATCCTAAAAGCCCCCGCGGCATTTCTCAGGTTGTAGGCAGAGATGGGAAAGGAAAGACAGTGATTCTAACGCGACTAATCCAGGTTATATCTCGCCTGTGAGCTGGTTGCTGCCAAATCTAATAGCTGTTAAGGACTTGCAAGAGTAGAGGCTTTGAGGTAACTCACCAATGAAGTTGTTGTTGCCAAGGTCCAGAATGGCGAGGCGTTGGACAGTTGAAAAATTGAAGGCAGAGAGCTCTCCAGTCAAGTTTTTGACCTGCAAATTCAAGGTCGATTGAATTGTGCAGTTGGTGAGAGAAGAAGGCAAGGGACCTGTGAAGTTGTTGGTGGGGAGCAGCAGCTTTTCCAACATTGAAAGGTTACCAATATGGCTGTTTGAGTGGAGCTCTATGATCTTGAGATTGGTGAGCTTCACAATGCCATCGCCGATGTGTCCAGAGAGGCTATTGACAGGAAGTGCAAGCTGTTATAGATCAGCAAGATTGAGAATTTCATTAGGGAGAGAACCAGAGAGGCCATTGAAGCCTGCACAGAAAACTTGGAGCTTGGAGCGTGATCCGATTCCAGGGGGGATTGTGTCAATAAATTCATTGAAGGACAAGTCGAAGAATGTAAGGGAAGCATGATTGCTGCCTTTGCTCAAGGGTATTGACCTGAAAAAGCTGTTGTTGCTGACATTGTAAATTGATATTGATGGGACAAGGACCGAAGACGGGATTGTTCCATTGAAGAAGTTGCTGGACAAGTTTATAATTTGAAGGTGGCTGCTTCCATTCGAAGATGGTGGTAAGCGGCCGATGAGACGATTGAAGCTCAAGTCAATGACCAGAAGACTTGGTAGGGAAGAAAGCAAGTCATCTGGGAGAGAACCCAATAGGGAATTGTGGGAAAGATTGAGGATGGTGATGGCCAAAGAGACGACACCGGATGACGCGGCGACGGTCAAGTGGGTCGCAGGTGATTCCATCCCAAAGGCAGCGGTCAGTCGAAGCAGACCAATTCAACGGTGCCTTGAAAGGCAAGGACAAGAGAGCATCACGGTCGAGTTCGTCGCAGGCAGCATAAGCAAAGCAAGGCAGCAGAAAAAGTAGACCGGAAAGGAGAAGAAGCTGCGTTGCCGAGACGTCCTCCATTAATCTGTTCGTATCAATCTTCATTACCATCACCATCGCATGGACCTATAGTATATGCAAAGACCCAATGAAATTTTCCAAGAGCGAGCTTAAGTCAAGTCCACCAATTGACATTGACCAAGAAAGAACCCTAATTGAAAATCTGTCACAAAACAGAGCAGGGGCAGCGGCAGCTGCCAGTTGCTGTTAGGAATTTTTCTAAATTTCATCCAACTCCGATGACATTTTCCCGAAAGGCTTCACGATCGAATAAAAAGGTCAATGGATGCTCCAAACATATGGTAAATTGTGTATTTTGATCAACGGTGTCGAGGATAATACGCCATAAGACGCTACATTGCACTAGAACGAGCAGCCAATAACACTAATTATTGGAGATCCAAGTCACAGGAAAAACAAAGAGAATTTGGTATGACTACGAATCAAGCACCCTCAGTACACATCAAAAAACCTATCTGTATATTTGCCTCTAAGTAATCAACATCTCAAGATAAGGGGGTCCAATAAACTAGCACGACCGCAATCGTTATAAACAACTCTCAGAGAAAGACAGGAGCCATAACCAGCGTGATCGTAGCAAGCATTTTAATGAGAACGTGCAGTGAGGGTCCGGCTGTGTCTTTGAATGGGTCGCCCACCCTGCAACACAAAATAAACCGGATCATATAGTAATTTTCTATTTCTTAGATTCAGAATCAAGCACCGACAAACAATGCAAGGAACAATAGGTTAGCTGGAAATTTCATGGCACATGAAAGAACTGAGCACAAGAATTGAAAATGACGGAGAGAGAAATGATATCGAAAGAACTTACGTATCTCCTGTAATGGCAGCCTTATGGCAATCACTTCCTTTGCCACCAAGAACCCCCGTCTCAATGTACTTCTTTGCATTATCCCAGGCACCACCTGCTGTGTTGAGGAAAAGTGCCATAAGAATACCGGAAACAGTTGCAAACATCAGCATGGACGCCACAACTTTAGCACCGAGTAAAGGTTGCCCAGTATAGAATCCAAAGATCCGGAACACAATACCTGCAAGGAGTACGAGCAAGAATTAATCCTTCATCATGCAGCATTAGAAAGTCTCTGTAAAGCAGAATGGTCAAACATGGAAGAAAATGAAAGGAAAATAACGAAAAAATGTCAGCTAAGTTAAAGACAAATGCCAAAGGTCAACATGAACCGCATGCTAAAGCAGCATGTTGGTATGTTTTCACCAAATGCTAAACATTAAGCGAAGAGTTGCAACTTGTTCATCAAAAGGTAAAAAAACCTAGCTCCTTCCGTAAAGACTACGACCATTTGAATCAGAGAATCAAATAGCAAAAATCCTTAGTAAACCCACATTTATAAAAGTTCAAAATAGGAAGCACCAAAATTCAATGAACAAACAATTATATAAAGAAGCCTGATCCTAGAAAGAAGGAAAAAACATCTATCATCTCTAAACCATAAAGAAAAATACGCCATTTGTAGCAGACTCTCAAGTTTGTTCAAACGTAATTATGCGGGAACACTAAACTCCTATTGTGCAATTTGTTAATTCAATGCCCCATAATTAATTTCAACACAACCAAAGGAAAAGAGACTCAATAAATGAAGATAAGTGTGGTAAAAGTACATTTATACTGTGCACAAAATAAGATATTTATAACTTTATGCAGTCATTTATAGAAATAACGCATATCCAATGCACACATTTTAATTCTCTCAAAAGGCAGCCATGATAAGAGATCGAGTCCACTGGATTAAGGAGTACAAGTGAAACAAGATAATTAACCCACCAACAGCTATAGGTGAAATAATAGCCAAGGCACCAGGTTTTATCATCTCCCTTAAAGATGCAGATGCTACAATAGCAACACAACGAGCATAATCTGGCTTCTCCTTGTACTCCTACAGAAAGCAAGTTAGGAAAAGCATAATTAGAAGGGTAGTTTGATTATTTATCCAACAGTTGTGCACACACACTGTTTGCGTACCATCATGTACACTAATTTTTCATCATCTTTTCTACATTCTCTCCGTTCACTTTTTAATTCTTATTTCATTTATTTAAAAGTATACCAGTATGTTTAACTAGTAATTGAATGGCATTTAGGACAATATTTATAGTGGTGAGACTCTGATTCCAAACAAATGCTTAGCGTTCATTATAAAGATTAAGAATATGGGAATTTCTACAAAAGCAATACTCACCATTATCCCAGGCCTCTCAATAAATTGTCGCCTTACTTCCTTAACCACCTCTTGAGCAGTTCGGCCAACTGCTGAACAGGCCCAAGCGCTAAATAAAAATATCAGCATAGAACCCAACAATCCACCAACAAAAACTTCGGGAATGGCAATATCAACCTGGAAAACAGTTAAAAGTGCAAATTAAGACACACCTGAATGGTATTTGTCAGGGGAAAAGATCAACGGTGGGATGCTGTTCCGTTTACCTGTTTGAAAGGCTCATGTGCAAATGCAGCAACCTCGTCCATATAAGCACTAAACAGAAGAAAAGATGCAAGTGCAGCAGATCCTATGGCAAATCCTTTAGTAGTAGCTTTAGTAGTGTTTCCTACAGCATCTAGAACATCGGTGATCTCCCGAACACTTTCAGGCTGTAGGGATATATCAAATCCAAATTTGTATAAAATAAGAAAAAATAGAAAAAGTAGTCTTCACAACTGAAACAGAAATCTTAAATTTGTCATTATAAGATACCTGCTGACTCATCTCTACAATTCCACCAGCATTATCAGCTATTGGACCAAACATATCCATAGTGAGAACATACGCAGCAGTACTGAGCATTCCCATTGTTGCTACAGCTGTGCCAAACAGCCCACCAGTTGGAATTCCATTTTCGTCTATAAGGCCAGAGGTCTGGCCCAGCCAGTAAGCTGAGATAATAGATACACTAATAACAAGAACCGGAAGAGCAGTTGATTCAAGACCCAAACTGACTCCAGCAATTATATTAGTCCCATGACCTGTGGAGCTTGCAAGAGCTAATGTGCGTACAGGCTCATGTTTGTAGTCGGTATAGTACTGGGTGATAAAGACGAAAACATATGCTGTGATGATCCCAACTAGCCCACACAAGGCAAAGTTAAACCAGGCTGATGGTGCTTGCTCAGTGTAAAGCAGCCATCGGGTAGACTGTACAAAAGAAACAATCGCAATGACAACAATGTCTTAAAAGTTAAAACTCAAATAAAAGGAAATTTATGCAAGCCTCTGAAGTGTAAACTTAAAAAAATATATATATTTCAAATGAAAACCCAAGGAAAAAAGATAAACATGACTTGATGGTCAGTGAAGTATTACCGCACCAAATGTCAGAACAGCCAAGACTATTGTAACAGAATATCCTCTCTGTAGAATTTTCATTGGATCCTCAAAAGAAGCCTTTCCGCTGGAATCACGTGTACCTCTAATTGAGAATATTCCAACCGATGAAATCACCAGATCAAAAGAGTGAACAACCAGAGGAAACAAGATGAAACCAGATGCATCTGCACAAGCAGTGAAAGAAAAGGTGAGTGTTTAAGAGAAATGGATGACCCGGTTTGAATAAAACCAGTAACAACACTAATGAAATGGCCAACAAACATATTTGTCACCAAGGTTGAGTGACTGAGTGTGAATATAACACCACAAATTGTGCTTGCCTTCAATTTTACAACGTTGAGCCATCGTTCCCCCGAGTATCATAGCACTAATAATCTCAGCAGCAATACTTTCAAAAAGATCAGCACCACGGGCTGCGCAATCTCCCACATTGTCTCCAACCTCAATTTCAATTATCAAAGTAAAGCCAATAAATTTACACATTTAAAGGTAGCAGGCATAATACTAATATATCGGTGTTGTCCTCCACTATGGATAAGAGGACTAATAAAACAGATGATATGAAACACATAAAAATGGAAAGTAGGTCTTCAATATACATAAGTACTGCCTAGGATTTCAGGGTTGGAAGAAGAAAAATACCAGATCTGCAATCACAGCAGGATTCCTAGGGTCATCTTCGGGAATTCCCTGCTCTACTTTTCCAACAAGATCTGCTCCAACATCGGCTGCTTTGGTGTATATTCCACCTCCCAACTGAGCAAATAAGGCTACAAAAGAAGCACCGAATCCATATCCAACAAGCAGAAGAGGCACTGAAAATTACATAAACCAAAGTCAAGCACCATGTCAAAAAAAAAGAACAATGGAAATAGCAATTGAAGTAGAATAGTGAGAATGGAAAGCACACAGACGAATATGCACTTAAACAGCTAAGATCATCATATAGATACTAAGTTGAGACCATCATATTTAAGCATTAAGGCCAAATTTACCGCTAACTGTCTAGAACAACAGGTTATACCACGGCAGACGGGTAGTAATAAGTTTGTAAATACATTTTCAAACAGATTGGAAAATTTTTCACTAGTACAGAAAAAAAAATAAAAAAAAACTATTATCCAAATAAATCAACACAGGAAACCCATGACAACCCAAAAGATTAAGAGGATACAGCAGTACAGTTTAATGTTTCAACATAGGACCATTGAAGTAGAAATTCTTTAAATTGATGCAATAAATATCAATCATAAGCCAAGGAGCAAGAAGAGTCAACACATACAGTCAGTAACCTTCATTGAACCTGGCGAATCCACTCCCAACCAAACATAAAATGTGGCATACAGGATGGCGATACCAAGTACAGCCATACCAACAACAACCAAAGCAGAAAAACCACCAGCACGAACAGCTATCTGCACATGGTATTTCCCCTTTAAGATGTGAATACAATGTGTTCTCAAACAGTTAACTACATAGGACACACACCTGTAATGCCTCTCTTGCAGACCGCCTTGCAGCACTAGAGACTCGAACATTTGCACGAACTGAAACCCACATCCCAACATACCCAGCAGCACCAGAACACAAAGCTCCCAAAAGAAATGCAGCTACTGTAATATAAGCTGAAGTGAACCTGCATCAGACAATCATCATCAATATATATTGACATGCCTTTTCTTTTGGATTGGG